TCTGCACAGTGAAGAAAGCCAGGGGCCAAGGAAGAGCAGTTGTCAAGAGAGACCACTCAACACTTGATGCTCCAGCTGGGTCCTAAGATTTCTTAAGGGTAGCAGCCTGAAAAGAAATCATTTCCAGGTAAGCACGCTTAATCAGCATTTGGGAAGACTCCTCTTCAGATTTTTCAAACTGCAACTTTTCACTTTCCTCATACAGCGCTAATTTGACATTGAAAAGAATTCAACACTGCTTGATTTTGCTGGTCTACGACAATCTGTGGTGTTTCATGCAGGAAGGATTTCTGTTTGCCATAACTGCTCTCCAGTATGACCACATCCATTAGCTCTGAAAAATTCATAGCTGAAAAATTGTAATTAAAATCATGTGCCCTTTTTCCTTGGTACCAGCAGATGCACTGCTACTTTTGCTTCACCATCCCCTTCTTTTATTTTCTGTCCTGCTTGACTGGTGTTGGGAAAACCACTTGTTGATGACTGCTCCAGCAGCTCTGAACCTAATGATCATAACAGTTCTCCCTACCAGTTTGTACCAACTCAGTCTTTCTTTGCTCCACGAGCAAGGAAAAACAGCAGCATCCTCTTAGAAAAGGAGCAGGACATTACAAGCAACAATGCTTTAAAATCATTGCATTGCACTGAAGTAGTAGTTTTGCTACCAATGTCTCAATTATAGAACAAGAAAAAATCAGCAAAGAAGAAATCAATTTTGTAACAAAATTTATTTTTGCTCTGTGGATACAAATCCCAAACATCAACAAACAAATTCCAGTGAAAAAATACCAGTCATTAACAATGAAAACTTTTATTATTATTTAATAAATAGAACTTTGGCATTCAAAATTCTAGCTGTAAACCCTACTTTAAAAAAATTACAAAATGAGGCAAGAACAACAAGCCTAAAGCTGAGCCAGCCAGTGGCTCCTTTACTTTTTACAACAAACACATTTTGATTAAGTCATGACAACTCTATTTACATATGAGGTATTCTGAGCGGTTCAAAAATTGAACCCAATTTACACAACTACCAGTCTTTGGGGACTGATCTAGTACATATGTCAGCTGTGCTTTTCAAAGATAGCTCCAGACACTCCTCCCCACTGAACTAATGATATACTGTAATTAATACACACCAAAGAATCACATTATGCTTTGAGTTTCCTGCTCACGCTTCATATCCAAGAAAGCTGCATACTACAAGCAGGCTAACATTCCGAGCACACACCTAGTACCTGTTGTAAGTACTTATGTTTCTAGATATTATGCAGAGTTCTTACTACAAAAGCCCAACAACAAAATATTGGCAGGTAAGAGGAAAACAAGGTGCAGTCATCAGCATTCTAGCAACACATCTAAAGTTCAAGGGGAATTTCTACTTAACTTCAGGCATAAAAAGGCACAAAGGTATGCAGCTGTGGAATTAATATTGCTAATGAGCTACTAGAATAAATCATCCCATTCAGTAATAACCACTGACTGGTTTGCAGCCAACAAAAGTGGATTAATTCAGGTCTTCTCCTCTCCCCTGACAGAACTCGTTACATCAATGGGAAGAGCCCAATGACATCTGCATCTCTTCCTACGTAATATCAGTGAAAGGAACAAGTGCTAGGGAAGTGGGTCACAGAGGAAGGATTTTCTTTCTTTCCTTGTGCTCTTACCTTGCCAGAAGAACATCTGCTACAAGAAGCAGGCAGTGTGGGCAAAGGAAGGGAAGAAACATCTTAAAGTGAAAAGGACAAAACTTCAGCTCCTGCCATTACCTCCCAGCCACCAGCAGCTTCAAATGTTGAAGCCTGGGTGGGTGGTGGCAGCAATCTCAGCAATTTCACAGAATTATCACGCGACAGCGACACAACTGGGGCTAGGAACCTAAATCATGTTTACACAGTTGAGCTGCATTACTTCTACATAGCAAATAGACAGCATCATCTATAGCCTGTCCCAAGACTTTCCAAGTCTTTTTTCAAAATACATTCTTGAATACAGTAGTTACTGTAAATATCTTCTAAAAGAATTGTACAAATTCGATCTGAAACAATACCAAAAAATTACTGTACAAATTTGCTGACAAACAGAACGGTACAGTATCCATTCATTAGCAGTTCTTTTTCAGCCCTTGAGATTGTCAAACAGCCACAGCAAAAAGTTGTCATGACTAAATCCAAGCAATTCCAATGTTAACATTCATTAATCAACTGTGTATTAAATATGCTGAATGAGATCACACACACTACATTTTAACCAATTAATCAGTCATGCATATCATAGACAAAGCTTATTCCATTTAGAGGCATCTCTAAAGTGATGCATATATAGTAACTGCTACTACTACAACAGGCCCAATTTCAAGAAACCAAAGCAAAATACAGTATCAGTTTAGATATTCAGTTGGTAGCCTGCATCTTTGGCTCAACCATCCACCATTTACAGCCCTATTTTAATCTGACTGAGGCAGGTAAACTCAATGGATATATATATTTAAAACAAAATAACAACAACAAAACAACAACCAAGTGCCTTAAAGTCAACATAAATATCACGGGTTCCCTAAAAAAAATATATATATATATTAAAATGCAAGATTACAGCATTGCAAACAAATTATTACACATACAATGGGACCTCCTTCCTGAGGGACTTTCAACTAATACTTACAGAGCATCACAGCTCCTGAAGTGCTTTGCAAATATTAAATTACTGATCTCAACTCTGCAGTACATTCAACAAGTGAGACAGTGGAGCCACACCAGTCAAGCGACAACACAACAGGACAGAGTTGAAAAATCTCCTGTTGCTAGCTAATTCTCTATTAAATGCTCTACTTCCACAAAATTTAAAAAAATGTGTTGCTCGGTCATTTTTACAGCTACAGCATTTCCATCTAAGGAAATAGCACGCTATGTTGGTGTTCACTTTCTTCCTAATGTTTCTAGTTAGTTACCTGAAACCCTGTTGCTGAATTTCTGATACCAGACAGCAGTCCCCAGTCTATGGCTTCTAAGGAAATAGCGTGCTATTTCCTTAGATGGAAATGCTGTAGCCATAGACTGGGGACTGTTCCTTCACTACAGGGCCAAAACCACTGCACTACATCAAAGGAACAAGCTGTGGCCCTAATTAAAAAAGCCAATGCTTTTACATCAAGAGACACAGGAAAATTAGTGCAAAGATCCTTGTTTTCAGTTTTGCACCAGAGTAACAGTACACTTTCAAAACTACAGAAAGAACAGCATTCAACAATTTAAACTAAAATGGCCTTTTTTTTTTTCTTCAACCTTAGAGCTGAGATACCACGCAATTTCTCTTGAGATTTAATCTGGATGTTTTAGTGCCCACTGGAGCTGGGCCAGTCAGATTAATCTCTATCTGAAAATACTGTGTAGCAACAATATACACTGTAACATAATTTTTCACAGATTAGTCCATGTGTAGGTTCGTGATAGAGAAAACTGTCAAATAAATTAGTCATTATAGCAAAGAAAAAAACAACAAAAACCAACACTAAATTATAAACACGCTAACAGTAACTGCATAACAATGAACAGAAAGCAAAACACCAAGTTAAAATTCATAAATTCAGCCTACGTTGCTATAACCATTTTTTCTTCTATTAAAATAGATATCATCAGAAAACTGTTGCTATAAAAATATTACCCTAGAACTTACACAATTCTAACCTCTATGCTAAGTGATTTCTGCTGTTTTCCATGATACACATCAGCAGACTGACTTGCACCTTAGCCACTTGAAACTTTAATATCACATGTATGACCAAAGGTCATATATTTTCTTGATAATGTGATTTTAGAGTGGTTTTGCTCACAATGAGTTTTTGTTACCTGCAGTTAAATACCATCTCACACCACGCACAACTGTTCAGATAACTTTCAGTACTGATCAAGGAAAGTGGAAGTGTTAATATTTTATCTGCCCCACAGGAGTGAAGTAGCACTGCCAAGTGATGCTCACAGAACTAACTGTGGAGTATGATCTCATTTTTAAGGTAATCTCTTCCTGCTAGAAAGGAGAGATCGAGAATAACCAAACAACATGGAAAATTTTGCAGTCCTTGGTTAACTGAGAATTTAATACTGATAAGCAGAGACATTCCGTTTTGAGCCCTGACTTTGCCAAATGCCTAACACTCGTTTTGTAGCTGCAGAATGGTTGAGGTTGTTTACAACCTCATCAGAGGTCTCCAAGGATATAGATACAGAGAAGCCACATTTTAAAATGGAGGTGACATAAATAAAAAGTATTATGGTATGAACACTAAAATACAGTCTATTCTTTTTGGACAGCCACGTACTACACTGCAGTTTCACGCCTCCCATTTTCTATGGGCTTGTCACAGACTTGATGTTACTGAAATTCCTCAAAGCAATATGATAATGCTTAAATTTTATGAGATTCATGTGCACAAAGGAATTGAAAGTTGGTTTTCTTCCATTCTTCAGCAAACAAGCTAACATTCATTACTAAAAGCAAGATACTTCCTGTAGCAAATTCTTCAGGCAACTTGAAAAGCATTTACTGTTTGCAGCATTCTAAGACTGTTCCAATTGCAGTTCCTACAGCTAAGTGAAGTTTCAGAAGCCCCCATCTTCACCACATACAGCCAAAGGTCATTTGACTCTCTGCACTGATTTCAGAACACAGGTAATGCCACACAAACCCTTGAAGGAGGAAAGGACCGAGAGTAGTAGCAGCACGGCTGTTCCAAAGCTCCGACTCCAGAAACTAGTTGAAGCAATAAAAGGAAACCCAATGAAGGAAACAGAGAATCCAACTGAAAAATTCTTCACAGCTTGTTCTTAAATTCAGTAGTTTGGAGAAAAGAAAGATTTCTTGAAGGTTGTACCACTCTGTTCAAACCATGTCTCTCCCTTCCCCACCTGATTCCCAAGACTACATATGCATGATCCTCACAGAGAGGCATGTGCAGTGGTTGCTATCTTCTAATATGGCTCCTTAATAGAAATGCAAAGACCTGTGACACAGCAGCATTTAATAAGTCATTTGCTACTGGATGAAATGTTGTCATTGAGTGATGCAATTGTCCCCCATGTCCTGAGCATAACGGTCTGATATTATCGTCCTTAATTCATCAATATCCTTTCGTAACTGACAAACGTCTGAGAGCTTCTTTGAGAGAGTCTCTGTGCTGTGATAATTTTCATTCTCTTCAGCTGAGCAGTTCAGTGCTACAAAAAAAACAAAAGCCAAGGTTAAAGCTCTAACAGCCATGCTCTGAATACCTAAACCAGTCAGCCTCTCTTGAAATAAAGGGAAAGTCACTTTAATTAATTCAAGAAAAACCATGCTCCAGTGTGATGAAAGGCCAACAAAACATTGTACCATGTGAACTTAAAGCCAGTTGAGAACTCATCCCTGCTCTACTGAAAGACATGCTTTTCTTTCTGCACCTAGACTCATTAATGACTAATCACTTTCAACAGTAGTGAAAAAGTTGGGTAGGATAACCATTTTCGAAGCTTCTAGCCACTCAGTAAAGAGGGATAGAAAAGCTTGGGAAATCAGACCATGTAAGATTACAAGATAGTACTACAGATATGTTGCATTATTTATCCTGCTGGCTGACAACGATCTCATGGACTTTGAGACAGGTATACGTGCACTCACAGCATTTCAGAAGTTTCCAGTGCAGATGAATCTATGTGGTGCCTACAGAACACTGCACTTTTACCTTCCTACTTTGCTGAAGGTAGAGTTCAGCAAATGGTCTGAGTAATTCTAATTAACACTCAGAAAGCACTAAGATATGATACATTCAAGTGAAAAAAAAAGTTTATTAAGCTTGTTAAAAGGAAAAAACTACATTTGAGCTCTATCTGGCTGGCATCAGGATGTACTTTCCATCTCCTGGCTTACAGCACAGGAAGTGAAGAAGGATATGGAATTAACATTATCAAAACTAGAACTGCCAGGCACTCAGGCTTATACACACAGACACCTACTGTCCCCTTGAAATCAGACATATACATGTTCAAACAGCAGACTTACATTTCCATCACTTGATCACAAGGGGTTTAAGAAATGGCCTGCTTATGCCTCACCTTCTTTGTTACTTTAGAGGGCAAAACACGTTTGACAGAAAAAGTCCATTAACCCTTAGGGCTGACTGCTGTGTGCATCACAAGGGAGACACATGGATAGACGCCTTTCCTTTTTAACAGTGTGAATATATCTAGAACTGAGTCTGTATGAACGTCTAGACATCTCCTCCTGACCTGACAAAGACCTGTATAGCCTTAGGCAGTTGGCAACCCAGGTGTGCTAAAAGCTCAGCACTTTCCAAGAGGTCTGGGAGTATACTTTGTGCACAACTGCTCTAGTTGCACAGTCAGGGGAAGACTATCCTCTCCACCTGGCAAGAGAGACCCACTTTACTAAACTGTTATTATTCTGTGTCCAAAACACTAGTAAGCACTGGCATGATAATATCACTTACATCTGATTCCCAGCAGTAAGGAAAGGTTAGGCTCCTTGCCCTGAGCTCTCTGGGTAAGAATACTGCACAAAGCTTTCAACTCAAACAAGCAATGGGACATTTCCTTGAACAACTGGTCTGCTACAGGCATTTTTTCAGACACTGGCTGCCGGGACTGTTCCACTTGCCGTATCTGCTCCTTCAGAGAAGCATTTTCTTCTGTCAGTCTTTGGTTCTTCATGAGAAAAAAAGAAGAAAAAGGTCAAGTTAGTCTACAGCATGTAGCATCGCAGAAAATTTCCTGTATCAAATCACAAGCAATACTAACTAAAAATAGTTACTTCGATACATAAAAGCTGGACCCCTCCAAAGAATAGCAAATAGACAGCTTTTATGCAGCTCTTAGTGGCCTTCACCCTTAAAGCTTTCTCTTGAGATAGGGACAGTATTTATTATATTTCTGCACAGTATTTATCACAGCAAAATATGTATTAAACTCATAAAGCCCTACCACAAGTGACTATAATCACTTCATGACGTTCTTCTTTGCTGGCATAGTCATGGATTGGGTTTTTGGAGTTTTTACTTACTTCAGAGAGGGTTTTATTCAACTGTTCTATATTTCTTTCTTTTTCTTCAAGCTCATTTGTCATCTTCAGAACTGTCCTCTTTTCTTGCAAAAGCTTCTCTTGCACAGACTAAATCGAAAGAAAGCACAGGTAATCATTTTAAATTTTCATACTGCAGGTTAGCGCTGACAAAAAAACATATCCTCAATAAATTCCTAAGTTTGTTATTCATTGCTTTTGAATTACACCTGAATTTCTACCAAGTTCCACTTCATAGTGTCCAACTGGACTCCAGGAGCTCTATGGACACTGGCTTAGCTGCACCAAATATCTGTGAAACTCTTTAAATTACTAGCATCTGTTTTTAAGCAAACAGACCATGTATGCAAAATGTTACTCTAACACAGGATAACAAGGAATGTATGGAAGGCTAAAGCAATACACAATCTTGTTTTCTATCTAAATTATTTCACTTGAAAAAAGCATATTAATGACAAGTAAACTTAATTTATGCAATTTCAGAGATATAGCTGAACATATTTTTGCCTCTGTTTTCCATGAAGACTGTGGCAGGGGTTCCTACAAGCTTTCACTACATAGTATCTACCTCCTGAATTTGTTATACAGCAGAGAAGAAAGCCTCTGGCAGCTGACAAAGAGTACCATCCTCTTTAAAACCATTCACACAAGATACCCTCAGAATAGGGTACTACAATTTTACTTTGCTGAAATAACAACTGTAGGCAAAATAACTCCCATAACTTATTTGTAGTTTATACTGTCTTTTTTAACAGATGCAATATTACAATCATCATTAATAAAATCAGAAATAAGTTTCTCAGATGCTGCTGTGCTTAGGAACTAGAGCTTTCCGAGTTTGACTTCCAGGTCAGTCATAAGCAGCAATAAACCAACAACTCCTGCAACACTGTCCTGCTGCTGTCATCTCTCTGTAAGATTTTCTTTACTTATTTATTTATTTTAATGAATTCAGCATGGCCACAGCTACCTTAGCTGTCAAATGCACACCTTCACTCTACTATTTGTTTCAAAAGCCATCTGGTAAAATTCAGAAGGGGGAAGATTCAAATCATCTTATCCGAATACTAACAACAGTGCAATAGCAGGCATGCCCAACCCACACCTCCTGGGCTGCACATGGCCCAGCACAGTGGCCCACTCACTGCCCCACACCAGCGTGGCAGCCGCTCTTCCCACCAAGTGGCCTGGCTCTGCCCCAAGCACGTACCCATCACTCAGCAACAACCAAACATCGGTGTGCTATTACCATCATCTCAGCTGAAACCAGGACAAGGGGAGGGTGCAGTGCAGTGCTAACTTTACCTCTTCCACTCATCACACGCACAGTCAAACTGAAACCCACACGTACTACATTACATGTGCTTGTGCCACTTAGTGATTACTGACAATAATATTTCTAGCTACCTGGTGTAGTCTCAAAAGAAAAGGGAATCCAAGGAATGAAAAACCGTAGATGAAAGAAGAGTGTTCAATGAAAAATGGAGAGATTAGCACCTTTTTGTCAAGGCAAATAATATGGCACTATGCTTAATTCGTAAGGAAATCGCGTCAGTTTTCAGAGATTGTCTTTGAAAAAGACAATATATGCAGAAACATGCTGTCAAATTCGATGAATATCAAGGAATGCTTTTTAAAGACAAAATAGCAGAACTGAAAAAAAGTCTGTCACCTCAACAAATCCTTACGAAAAGTTACATTCAAACAGATTCTGTTACAAAAGCTACTTTATGTGGTACCAAATCTGATTGCAGTAAAATCAAAACCATTTACTGATGGTGAGTTTAATTATGCAGTCCACGGAAAGTGTGGCAGATACAATTTTTCCCGATAAAAAACAGATTTTCCTAAAATCAGTTTGTCTCACCAGACTGTACCCAGGCAAACTGAAGAAATGGGGAAGTCTAGCAGAAGAAATTTGGACAGTATAGCTGCTAATCTCAAATTTTGTGCTTTGGCAGTAGATTAACCTATTGATGCTAAGATAAAGATCAACTTGTCTTTCACTACAGTTATTGGTAATGAATGTCGCTGAAGAAATTACTACTTTGGTGCCATTAGAAGACACAACAACAGCTCTTGATTTGTATGAAGCAGTAGAAATTTCATTACAGCAATGCTACTGATGGCATTCCAATGATGGTAAAGAAGAGGGACTTAAAAAAAGAGTCAATAGAAGATTATGCACTTGCTACCAGCAACTCACATCTGATGAAATATCACTGCATCTTACATCAAGAAAATTTATGCACAAAAATTGGTAACATCGTGCAAATCAAAAGCTGTGAATTTCATAAAGTCCAAGGAACTGAATCATCACCAATTCCAGAAGTTTCATAAAACCATGGATGCAAATTATGAGAACATCATTTAGTTTTCTGAAGTAAGGTGGCTAAATTGGGGTTAAATGCTAAAAAAGATTTTGTGATTTCCAAAATGAAATCGTGTCATTTCTAGAGTAAAAAGGAAAATTTTTGCCAGAACTTGAAGCTGAAAAATGGCTCACAGATTTAGGATCTTTGTTGGATTTGACTGCTCATTTATATGAGTCAAACATACTTCTTGAAGGAGAAATCATAACAGCATTTGAAATGAAACTTAAATTATGGCAAACTCAAGTTATGGTAAATAAGTTTATGCATTTTGATACACTGACTAAACACAAACCTGTGAACAGTGAAAAATATGCAGCCATGCTTTCTGTTTTGATAAAGGAATTTGAGAATAGGCTTCAAGCCTACTGAAAAAAAATTATCCCCTTCTTTGCTTATTTGTGACTCCGTTTCATGTTGATATAATGTACATCATCTGTGAATTTTTAAATAGAATACATAGAGTTGTAATCAGATATTCAACTCAAAAATATAACCATGTTTCTTCACCAGACTTTTGTAAGACCTATCTTTCCAAAGAAAAATCCCTCAGTTCACAATCACACCTTATTCACATCATCACTTTTTGGTAGTACACACATTTGAGAACAACTGTTTTCAAGGATGAAGTACAGGAAAAGTAAAATTTTGTGAGAAATCTCCAGCTTGAGAGCTCACTAAGGATTGCAACTGCTTCCACTAGACCAAACCAATGCATTAGTTTCACAAAAAACAAGGTCAAACATCCCACTATTTTCATGCTTTTATTGCTCTTTTTGTGTTTTAATAAAAAATATTAAAAAATAAAATGTTTGTTACTTATATTAACAGTATTATACATATTATACGCAGCCCAACACAATCCATTCCTCTTCACTCAGTGCACCCCAAGCAAGCCCCAAGCAAGCCAAAAGGTTGGATGCTTGTAAAGTATACTGCTGATACATATTCCTGACTATTTCAGCTTTCACGATGAAAAAAAATCCTCTTTTGTCATTAATTACTAACAGATTTGATGCTGTGCTACAACACTGCATCCAAAGTGTCTTCCGCATTCCTAGCTCCGCATATTAATGTGTAAAACCTGTGTCAGTTACTGGATGCAAATCCAATCTCATCATGCTCAAACTACAGCTGCTGCATTGGTGACAACAGTACGTGCTCTGGCACGGTTTTGAATGTAACCTTCCACGAAGTGGAACCAGAGACCACGATGGGAGGAGGAGATGGAATGTTTTACAAACCAATGGATCTCAATTTATAGAATGTCACTGAGCAGAATGGTTTGTCTTGAATCTCTGTAGTTAAAATCCTAAATATTCATCTTCCAAAACAAAGAACTCTGTCACAGGGAATTCTAAATAAAATGTTACAGAAAGATCAAAGACAGTCTTGAGTAAAATACATGTTTTAATTGTTGCAATATAATGGTGTGCACAAGAGGGATATAAAACTATTAAAGAACATCGGAAAGTGGGCTACAAAGATGGTGAAGCACCTAGTGGTCCACATGCAAGGTGCATGAGGGGCGGCTGATGTCCTTTGGTGTGCTCAGCCCAGAGCAGAACCAGCTGAGGGGAGGCCTGATGGTGGCTGCAGCACCTCGCAGGGAGAAGAGAGGCAGCACTGAGCTCTGCTCTGTGTGACAGTGACAGGGCCCGAGGGAACGGCATGGAGCTGTGTCAGGGCAAGGTCAGGTGGTGGTTAGGACAAGGTTCTTCACCAGAGGGTGGTCAGACACTGGCACAGACTCCCCGGGGAAGCAGCCACAGCCTCAAGCTGATGTAGTTCAAGAAACATTTGGACAGCGCTTTTAGACACTGGGTTTCAATTCTGGATGGTCCTGCGTGGAGCCAGGATATGGACTTGATGATCCTTGTGGGTCCCTTCAACTTGGGATACTTTATTCTACGATTCAATTGCAGTTTGGGAAGAAAGCCAAACTTACTCTTATGTGAGAGCTATTCCTAAATGGTATGAAGAATGGAACTTTCAAGGTATTAATACTGTGGACTGTAACACATAGGAAACTATGTTTATGCGTTGAGGCCGGCTCTACACCGCATTTGTGGCTTACAAAATGGAGAAGCCTTTTAACTGACCAGCCAGCTGTAAGAACACTGCTGACAGGGTGGGAAGTAGTGAGAAGCAGGGCAGGGCCAACAGAAAATGGTGTGCAGCATTGAAAAATTTCCTAATAATGACATTCAGCTCAATGGTGCACAAGAAACAAGAAGCGTAGTGACACTTCCTTCAAAGCCAGAAAACAATGGTGTTAAAATTTACACATTCAATCTAGATGAAAATACTTTTCTTTTTTCATCTAAGTAACAGGAATCACAAGGCAGAACCCAGAAATGCTACTTGTTTTTAGAACATTTTCACATGCTTGATGTGCCTCTCAGTTCACCCACACCATGTCCCTAGCAAGGAAGTGTTGAAATAGCGTGCATCCTAGAGATAAGAAGTGGCTAGAAAGCTCAGCTTCGTGCTACAAAGGAAGGGGAGGAAGAAAAGGGATCATGGCTCCATGTCAAAGGAAACACTGTGGGCCAAGAGAGGGCAGGAAATAGCTCTGCTTGATGCTTTTCCTTTGTTGTGCTTAAAGATGAGTGTAACATGCAGAGGTTTTGAACAATCACCTTCATTTTATTTTAAAAACAGTGTACTGAGAAAAATGGCCATATTGAGTCAGACTGAAGGACTCTGTGTGCGGTTAGCAGCCATGCAGAAGTTGCTTAGAGACAAGGAGAACAGTGCAACAAGGTAACAACAGGTACCCAAACTAATTTTCCATCTTCTGAGTATCTTCACTTTTTAACAGTCTTTATTGCATTTCTCTTGCATGAGCAAATTCAGGGACACCCCAAGCCCCAGTATGACACATGCATTAGAAGCATTATTTACACGTTTCAAATCTATGTCAGTGACAGACATTAAAGATTCTATTGTGTAGCCTTCCTTAGGGTGGGCAGGTTCAGAAATATTACATTTCCCAGTATATTTTGAGAACTACATCTGTCGCTGAACTTGCATAACAGTGCAAGCTGCTCTAAAATCACCTTTCAGTAATATTCAAAATAATGTGCACGTGGTCAGCTTACCAGTTGTGCAACATAACAGCAAATGTGGAAATAAGTGTTATTTCTGAGAGGCATACCTAACATCTATCACTCTATGCTATCCTTACCTTAAAGCTCAGAAAAAGCACATATGCTTACCAGCTTGCTAGATCCCATAGTGCTATGGCTTCCCAACACTCACAGTTCTGAGAGTCCTCTATATTCCATTCTTACTTTTCCCTTTTGCTTTCTGAAGTTACAACTTGGCATTATTTCCAGCCCTGACACAGATTGGGTTTATTATGACTTACAGGATTGACAGATGTAGTTTGGGTAATACAGACACCATATAAGTTGATTTCTAGCTGTTTTGCACAAAAAATGCTAATTTTGCAATATCTAAATTAATCGTATAAACAAGGATTATTTCATTTAAAAAACAAATAATACTCTCAGTTGTCATTTTTGCCCTTTGGAAAATGTGCAATACATGCAGCATGACATTTTATCAAGATCAACCAGAAGTTTAATCACTCACAGTCAGGAGAAAAAAAATAAATAAATAAAAATCAAGCAAGCAAAACCATATAAGGAAGAGATCAAAATCACTCCATCACGACTATGAGCAACAGAAGCTAGTACTGCTCGATTCACTGTTGTCTGAAGCAGAATATTTTCTTTCAGCTTGAAAAACTGAAAGACATTCTCAAGCATAGCTTGACAGTGTGGCAGAAGATGGGAAATGAAATAAGATTTCAACTGAAGATGAATTACATCTCTCTGCCAATAAGGGATTTCTATTTCTTACAAACTAATTTTCAATGCTTCCCATGGAACAAATGTGAAAAGGATTGAGGATCAAAGATACAAAGAAACTGCTGTAGTCTGCAAGTAACTTGAGGGCTAACACCACTTCCAAATCTTATTTTCTGGCCTTATACAAATCATCTCAAAATGGGAAAGGTAAGAGAAAATCCCAGAGAACAGAACACTCCTCTGTTCACAGTCTGCGACAGCTACTCAGCATTTCCCTAAAGTCATTTCAGAATAAGCACACAAAACAGTGATCTGTATAAACGGCTACTGAAATTACTAAGTCTCAAGATAAAGGTGGTGGCGGTGAGAAAAAGATTAGAGAATTTAGGAAATACAAAAGGATTTAGGTTGGTTAGAAATAACGTGCGTATTTCAACCAAACAATCTAAACTGAATTATGGAGAGGGAGAGAGAATTTGAGAAGGTTATGGAGTTCAATTTGTGACCTTGTTTCTTGAATAATGAGAGTATATCTGCCTGTGCCATAATTTCCACCTATGGCAGACTGCTCTGTGCAAACATAACCATTTGATAGATTTTGTTGTCCTCAAACCAAGGAGAGCTTAGATTCTGATTCTGCTTTTCAGTTAGCAGACGTACTTTATGTTGCAACTCCATACTGCTTTGTTACAGATATATTTAATATATTGTGGTTCACTTAAGAAAAAGTGTTGCTGTCAACAGACACCAGACCTGCTATTTACTTGCACAACTTACTTTCAACAGATATGAATAAGAAAACTCTGCTCCAGTGTGCAAAGTGAAAGTAAGAAAGCACATTTTCCTATCAAATGCTATGCAAGCAGTTTTGTATCTCTTTGTTACTTGGATTCTATCTCCATAGTGAACTCCTACTTCAGAAGGAGAAGGCATTCAGCTACCATTCTGTTGTTCTCTCAAACCTAAAGCACACTGAGCCCAAGTAGAGACACCCTCTTCACCCTCAGGGGTCAAACCTGTAACTTAATTTTTGCTGGAGAGTACGGGAAGAAGAAATCTGGAGACAAATACCAATCTGGAAGATCACAGAAGCTAGAATTTATTGAATTTGGCTTCAATACTTAATGAAAACAGATGTTTACTTATTGTTTTTAATGCTCAGCTTCTTCTAGAGCTAGTCATACCTTCTTCCTTATATCCTGTATAATGTTTCCTTTTCTCCATAACAAACACTGGTCACTAAGTACCTTTCAAGGATCAAGAACTTGATGTGTTAATCTGATCCACAGAGCTGCAACTGACTTCTAGTAACCTCTAATGTCTTGAAAAATCCTTGACTCTATCCTGGGTGTCCAAGATCCACCAAAAGAACGCTTAAGTGAGCAATATGTCAGAGACCATTTGAAGAGAAATTCATTTCAACTCTGTGAAATTGTATGGTTTAAAAAAGCACTCATCTTGCTAGGGATCTCAGCAGTGAAACTCAATGTCACTTTTGTACTTCAGATTATCATTTGAGCCCCAATGTTTGATGAGATGCTTCACAAAACGCAGTTCTCAAACTTGAAATACATAGTTCTGATATGACATCTACTAGATGAGCTGAATAAGAATGCTATATAGCAACACTTTATAAGTATCTGAAGAGTGTTAAAACCCTACAAACTTCAGTAACAAATACTTTATAAGCTTGTAAGAGAACACGGGGCCAACTACAGTCTGTAAGATTAAATTCTGGTATTTCTGTCTTTACATCCTATTTGGATGTCATCTTTATGAAGTAAACACGGGCAGAGTAAACAGAATATACTCTCTTTCTTACCTGCATGTCTAAAATCAGTCCCTCTATCTGTTTTTGTTGATTGTCTATGACCTAGAATATAAAATTGAGTAATTTAATAGGCTTGAAACTCTTAAGCTTGTGGCTTTTTTTTTCTTTAAATCAACTTAGAGGTGTGAAGCCACAGATTTTACATGATATCTTTGAAAAACCAAAGACAGAATGTAACTCTCACACAACTGAAATAAATACAAAATAGTTCCATTGAACAGAAGCAAATATTGAAGAGAAAACTGATTTAGCAATAAATGTATAATTTGTTATGGAGATAATTGTTTCTAAAGTAAAAAACAAAACAAAATAACAAAAAGCAAATACAGGATTCAAGGTCAAAAATACCACACACAGTTTGCAGACTAACCTTACTGGCTTTCTCATTCTTTTCTTTGAGACATTCATTCTCACTCTGAAGCTGCTTTGTGTCCAACATAGGAAGGCGAATACCATCTTCCAGGCATTTTTCTACTTTCTGCTGCAAGCTGCCATTCAATATAAAAAAAAAAAAAAAAATGACTGTACTGAGAAAATGCAGAAGAGGTTTATGTTCTGGCAAAAAATGAGGAAGTTTCACCATTTTCCAAACAGAACTGCACAATCATAACTAGCAGAATCCAGCCTAATGAATGAGCAAACCAACAGTGGATAAATGATACAGAAATCCTTAATGACTGAAATACGTGTGGTACTTACTAGGGTCAACTTATGTAAAAATGCTTTTATGGACCAGACACTGTATACCTCCTGAAAGGCACAGATCCAGCAGTATGGCATAAGGAGAAGGCAGATAAGATCAAAGAAAACTTTGTATAGTTCACAGCTACTCTGTGCTGCTGACCAGCCCTGGTCAGAGCAGTCTTTGAGCTTCTCCAAGTTACAGGAGCCTTAAAAATCCAATTTTTTTCACAGGGGCATCTGTGACCCAAAGCAGAGTCCAGAATCAGAGGCAGCACTGAGTACTGGCAGCCCACCTTCTGCACCCTCTTTGTCTGGCTTGCCAGGGGGTCATGAAGCCATTTCTGTCAGCTGCTTCCACACCAAGGCATGACATTCAGGCCTTCCGCAGCTAAAATCAAGCTCCTAGAATCATACAGCTTTTGCCTGCCCACCTTCACTCAGAAAGAACATAAATTTTATTAGTATTAATCTTTCTGTCTAATTTAGAAATGAAGGGTCACTTCAGCTATTTGTAGGCTTTCAGAAAAGACAAAATGATCCCCCTCTCGATTATGACGGCACAAAGAAAAAAGGCCTTTCATTGGTAAGATGGAAACAATGTGTCAACAATTTGGCTGGCAAGATGTCCTCACCAGCTTGCCTTTCATCATGGAAACACTTTCAGACTGCTATGGCATGCATGCTTACGCAAGGGTGGGACACTGAACTGCAGTGACATCCACATAAAATATTAAGTGATTCTCCCTACCTTTTTTGTTTGTTTGTTATTAAACAAGCATTGAAGTATCCCTGCTGATCCTGATCTAAAATGTACAACTGTAACAGTATCTCCAAGTTTCATCTGGAATCTCCTCAGGGCGACCTGTTCTACTGCAGTTGGCTTTTTTGCTTTTTTCAAATACAGTTCTACAAGTTCAATGACAGCAGACAAGCAACAGCTACATTTCTCTGTAAGTATCCCTCAGACTCAGTGAAAAGATAAGAGACAGCTACAGTTTATTTAAATCTTTGACCCTTAACTGATAAACCCTTCAGCTAATATCCAAGGGAGCTTTTCTGCAGTTTGTGACAAGATTAGTTACAAAGAAGGAGTGCTGACAGCTTCTATACAATGATCCTTTGCTGAACATGTTTACTCTATCCTCTGCCTGGCAGCAGCCTGTGATGCCATTGTGGTGGTGTCCTACGTCTTCAGAAATGGCAGTAAGGAATTTCTAGACAGACTTCTCTGTGGTATTCTTTGCAACTTGATACAAACCAACTTTTCTTGGATTTTCTACTGCATTACACAGCCATTCTGCAGAGTAATAAACTTACGCCATAAAGTCCTTAATATTGCAATAGAGTGTAAGTGGAAAAAAAAAAACCAAAACATTATAAATTGATATTAGTTGGTAAAGCACATCTACTCCAGGGCTCAGTTTAGACAGCTGTTCATACCTCTGCACTGTTGTAACCAGCTCTTTTTCTTTTTTCTTCTGACACACCAGTTGCATTTCTCTCTCTCTACACTGAGATCGAGCCTCTCCAAGTTTCTTCTCCAACTCAGTCATAGTTTCTTGAAGTTGCTTGTTCTTCTCCTCTAGAATTTGCAGCTAACACAGGTTACATTAGTCAGATACAACGCCACGTTAGAAGAGCTTACAGCAGGCCACAGCTTTGCACTTACTTTATGTATAGTCTTAGCCCCATCAGTTATGTAAGTATGACAATACCTAATAGCTACTAGTTTTAGTCTCCTAAAACAATGAAACATTTCTCTTCCTCAACAGATAGGGAAAAATGTATTGGAAAACAGTAAAACATTTGACAACAGATATTACAGAACTTATGTTTGTTTTTAAAAAGTAAAACCAACTCCTTTCATCTTACCTGTTTAGTCTGACCTTCTATATCATCCAGTGTTGGTAGGTCAGCCAGGTATTTTTCTAAGGTTTCAATTCGTCTCTGCTTTTCTTTGTTTTGCTCTGACTCTTTCTGGCATTTCTTTTTCAGGCTATTAATATAGCGGTCTCTAGTTTTAAGCTAGAAAGTAAGAATAAATGTTTTAAGATTACAGTGGAAAATAAACCTGCTTTGGGACCAGGGGCTCTTCAGGAATTATATTCTCAACTGCACAAAAGTATTAATTATTGAAAGAAAAAAAATAATAATAAATCCCAGCAGCTCAAACTTCCAGACCCTTCAACCACAGGTGTTACACCTATGCCTAGAAAGCAAACTGTACAATTTAAAAGATAAAATAGACATATTTTTTTCATCAATGAGATGAAAAATTATAATAGTTAAGTTGGAAGGGACGTACAAAGATCAAGTTAAACTGCCTGAACATTTCAGGACCTAACTAAATGTTAAAGCACACTACTGAGGGCATTGTCCAAATGCCTCCTGAACACTGACAGGCACATCAACCACTTTGCTAGGAAATATGTTCCAGTGCAAGAAATGATGAGGAGATATTTTAGTCCCTTCTCTTCTTCTGACCTAGGAAAATGACTTGAAACACTGAAATCTAAGAATTGAACCCAAGAAGAACTGCAGCCAATAACTGGACTGTGACACCATCTGTCAATTACATCAGGTGTCATCAGAACAGAACAGCTGCTTTCTTAAAGCACACTGTACTATGTTTGCTTACACTGCTGGTACTTTTTGGAGAGAAAAAAAAAAAAAGAGAGAAAGGAAGCAAAAAAACAACAGTATTTTCCAGCCAGAGTCCAATGTAATGGAAAACAGTATCACTATTAGTCACAACTGTGTAGTAACTCAAAGACAACAAACACTTAACATGACAGTAAATGCAAAATGTACTTTTATTTTGGTGCTAAGGACATCCACCTCAATGAGAAATGAGTGTGATAATGTCAGAGCTCAGAGTTGTGGCCAACAGAAAAGTTTAAATTGATAGTATTAGAAAGGTTTTTCTAGTAAGAGCCTTCTAAAATAGACCAGAAAACTGAGGATTGCAAAAAGGCCAAGTCCTTACATCTTTTTTCTTTTTTTTTTTTTTTCATTATGACCTCAAAACTGAGCAAAGCTTTCCAAATAATTTAAAATCTTTCAGATTAGACAAAATCAAACCACAACGCACACTCAAGTGAGGCAAAGTTGCAACTCAGCCATCACTTTCTGCCACAGCATGCCCTGTAGAAACACATACTCTCCCCACAATCCAAGTCCTAGGACAGCAACTAAAATACATTCAAGTAAGCCAAATTGCCAGGAGCATGCAACTGTCCAATATGCAAAATCCTTTTCTTTGTTTCTCACACACCAATAAAGATGACAAGTTGAACAGTCTGAATACTTCAGTACTTCCGACAAAGATTACATGATTTCTGAATCTTTTTGTTGTCCTGCATATGTACACTAAGAAATTTTCTCACCTACAATCTCTACTTTTCTCATAGCTACAGTGTTTGCCTTACGATTCCTTCTGTCCTCTCTACATTCTCAGCATCAGCCCAAGAGCTCTTTCTACCTTCTCCTGAGATAAAAAAACGTTTTATTTTTTCCCCCCTCCACTCACTCCTGCCATTCTACCGAGAAGACAAGAAAGCTTTGTTGGTTTGGTGGGTTGTTTCTTTATTTTATTATTTCATCCTTCATGCATATGACTTAGTTGGGACAGGCTCTCACTACCTGGCAATTAAATACTAAAGCATGCCATAGAAATCAAAGGGCAGACCATTGGTACCAACTACCAAAGGTGCCTTAGAGGAGTCTTCACAACTAACCACAGAAGAGGGAGAAGAAGGAGATAGGTTGAGTTCAGCTACCTACGCTCTGCTTTTTCAGTTCAGCAGCACAGCTTACAGATAAAATGCTTCGAAACTAAAGCGAGCGCTACAAAATCTACAGATGCCATGAGGCACACTTGTGCCTGGAAGAAAGAAAAGGAAGAAGCTAAGTGCTTGTGATAAGAACACTTGTGAAGAGTGCTATAGTATCTACCTTAGCAGACTCCGTCAGCTAGGAAGCCACAAGCTGCCAAGGTATCTGGCCAGCCACAAAAGAGAAGCTTTTTCAGGCTGCTGAAATTTCAGCGCCCACTGAAGAACTTCCAGTTCCCTCAGTTACACACTGAGCACACGTGGAGCCTGGAGAAAACAAACCTTCTCTTCAGGTACCAGTATTATTTGCAAAACAGTAAAAACGCTGCCTTGCTTGGTATGTCAGCATGTGGAAAAGAGGTATGAAGCCAGTAATGGGTAAAGGGCAGCTCTTCTCTCTGAAGGCCCTGCTGTTTCTCAAAAGGAAAGCAACCAGTGTATCCACAATATTAGAAGGGACACAGCACTTCAGACCAAGAAGTCTTCCAGCTCAGTGCATAATTTCCAGCAGTGCCCATATGCAGATATCTACAGTAAGGAAAGAATGTGGATAACACATTTTTCCAGTTTCCAGTTGCTTCTGTCCATTCTTCTCCTGAGACAATTATGGTTTCTGTATTCTTCTCTTGGATATTTGCCTTGTTGCCCTCCTCTGAACCTTTTCCAGTTCCACTACATCCTGCTTTTGTGATGAGGGAGACTCTCCTAGACCTTTCATCACTGACGACTGATGAACATGGAAATGGGAGAGTTCCTTATGTTTTTTCCCTCCCATCTGCACTGGAACAGTCACAGCCTGTCTCTTACTGTCAAAAACATATCATCTGCACACTGTATTTAAATGTTGCATGTTTAAAATGTCAATATAGGAAAAAATATTTGCAACAGTAGGTAGCTAGAGAATTAGATACATATAGCACATGTCCTTTTAAACATGCACTTACAAAGCTCATCTAATAGCTAATTTGTTTCAGGCTTCTATCATTTCCCCATTCGCTGGCCAAGTCTGGCTTAGGATTGAAAAGCCTCTTCAAAAACATAAGCATTCACTCAAAAATAACCCTTAGAACAGCTACCTGCCACAATCCCTTTGTTCAGTACATAAGTTCTATTTTTTTGTTCCTTAATGTCTGGTACATCAAGCAGGGACACCAAGATTTCCAGGCTTTGGGGTTCTCTGTGCAGGCACAGTTGAGGAACTGCAGAGAGGGCTGTCCCCAGGCATGGCACCCAGCCCACTGCAGGATCACTACACACCACCTTCCTCCTTCTGCAATCTTCCCTCAGACAGGATGGCATTCAATTTATTACTACAACACATGCTCCCTTCCTGTCCTTTTTCTTGTTGAGAGCCTTTTGTTCAGCACACAGAATGGGTGTGAGGTGGATCAGATCTGTACAGTAAATCAGGTTCTTGGTGACCAACTATCCAGCTGATCCAGGCACTGGGGCACAGCTCCTTGAAACTGCCAATACTCACAGCAGCAGTTCCTACACAGGAACACAAGCAACAAAAACACTAAAAGAAACAAGAGGAAGCGGAAGAACTCAGTTTCTGCTCTTCCTGAATGTTACCGTCAATGAAAGGCATACAACAGGATTTGTCAGAAATGGGAAGGCAAAAGTGGAGATTAACTATACTTTCCTTTTTTCCTTCCTATCTGTTGCTTCACAGTACCACATTTCTCCTGCCCCTTGAATCTGCATGAATATAAATATAAGTACAACAGTAAGGTTTACTGATTAAAGAGAAGGTAACTGGCAACATCTCACTGAACATTACGAATCACTGATCAATGGCACATTCCAGCCTGCAATAATGACAGGCTGTCGAGAAACTCAGAACTACCTTAGGTACTGCTCTGGCTTCTAAAGAAACTTGTTACCAAGAGAGTTCCAAGAACACAGCTAGCTAAGCCCCTTCCTTGTCTCAGATTGAAGGCTGCTTCACGCTTCCTACGGAAGTTGCAAGAGAATTGCTTTCTGCTGAGTAGGCACCTTCAGCACATCTCAGAGCGTGAGGCCTGCATCTGTGCATCATGTTAAAAAGGAGCTTTCATTTCCATGCTTTTCCTGTGTTTTTAGGAAATACTTCAGTTGTTGTAATAAACATACAAGCTAAATGAATTCTCAGGCTTAGAGCTGAGCAGCTTTTCTTCAAAACAAGTTTAATTGATATATGGTTAAAACTGCCATTACCAGGTCTGAAATATGCAGAATGATTGATATTTTTTCACTACAAGTTCAGATTTATCCACTTCCAATGCCTACTACCACAGATAAAGTTTATCTTCATTTTGAAAACAGCTCTGTAATCTCCACACAAAGTTGCTTCCTAACAAGCACAATATATGCCACGTTAACAAGGTCAAAAGGAAATTTGGAACATGAAAGACACTTACTTTTTCTTCCATCTTCTTTTTCTCCTCGCTAGATTTGTTTGAAATCTGCTTTAGAAATTCACTGAGTTGTAACTCCTTATTCTCAGCCACTGCAATCTTTCGCTCAAGCTCCTCAAGGTGGGGTGCTGATCTTTCTGAAACGTGAGGTTGCAGTGATGCACTCTCATACTGTGGTTGCTTTCAAAAAGAAAGAGAACAATCATATAAATGAACACATACATACCACTGCATATTTTAACAGCACAGCAGAAAACAGTCCTGCTGGGTTTTTTTCCCCCTCACTTTCAGGAAGGGTGGAGTTTGATTTTCAAACACTAAAATGTGTGGGAACAGTATGCATCTCAAGAATCTTCTGCAGAGAAAAAAAAAAGAAAAGAAAAAAGCTGGACACTTACATTCATAACATATGAAAATGAACATTGTGTGACATTTCCCCCTCAGATATACTGAAGAGGTACAACTTTTCTTTCAAAACAAACAAAAACCTCCAACCCTTAAAATTCAAAGAAAATGCATTTTCAAAAAAAAAAAAAAAAGTCTACTACACTACCCTATTATCTCTTACAGAGAAAAAACACTGTAATATATTCACGGACATTTTATAAAATAAGATATGCTCCAATCTCACAGACCCTGTTAAAGTAGAACATCAGACAACAGTTAAACATCAGAGCTATCACAACTGAGATGAGGGGTACAGGGATAGTCTGAGATAATAGCTACAACCAGATGGCAGGCTTCCTGCCTTCTGTCATGTCCACCAAAACCCTCCTCCCCTTCTATCTCATGCAGTTCAACATTGTTCTCCCACTTCCACTGCCCACGGAAAGAAAGCACAAAATGGAAATCAACTGCCCGTGGGATGAAAAAGGAGACGCATCCCATTAGGCTTTCAGTTTCATATTCTTTTAATAATATAAACTGGAACCTTTAAAGAAATTATACAGAGAGCTTTTAAAATAACATTCCTTGTGCAAAGCATTGTAAGAGATTAAAATCTCCATTAGAGTAGATTTTCATTTGCAAGTTAATCTTATGAAAAGCAAACAAATCAAGCAGAAATCCTAAGACCTATTATAAATTGCTTGTATATTTTAAAGTACGAAAGATGAAAGCATCTGCTGCTTTATTTGAAGTGTATTTGCTATGCTAAGGTTATGTACATTCATATTTCAGTTTCCATGATTTTTTTTCCCTTTCATATTCTTAATCTAGACAGAGTTTTAGGGTATTTCATGAAGAAACTTCTGAAAGCACTGAAATCCACATTCAGAGACTGTTTCTATCCACCTTCATACTGAGTTGCTACCTGAACTTTCTTCCCATCTTACACAAAACAATCACACCTTACACAAAGCTGTGCTATTCCAAGAACATAATTAACATCAGGCTGAAGTGTGTTAGCTGAGGTCCTGGTGCAGAGTCTGTGACAAAAATGATCAAGTAATAAAAGAGGATGGCAAAGCTATTTCTCTGCATTTCTGCCTTTAAAATTTTCCTCCAGCAAGACCATTTTGATACGTGGAGGTGTTGAGATGGATTGTACCCATACTATCTCTGTAATTACACCTTTGGGTAGCACCTCCTTGTCCAACTCTGAAAATCTTTTGTTGGTGTTTTCAAATATTTTGTTTTCTAATATCTCCTTATATAGCTGTATTACACACGTGCTGTTAAAAACCATCATTTTTGCACAGTGCTCCAATATGAATGAGGATTCTTACCCCACTTTCATCAGATTTCAAAATAAGTATGTACACAGTATTGATGCAACTTAAATTTCTACAAACTTGAAGTAAATAACATTTCCAGGATTTTCCACTATGTGCAATTTATAGTTATCCAAAGACACAACCATTAATAAACATAAAAGTTCTGCATTTTATCTACAGTGAACTGTGAACATCATTTCAAATGGCAGTTACTGCATAATTGAAAGATTCTCTAAAATAAAAATATCCATCCTACCTGCAAATTAGTCATGTATGGTTCTTCGCAGTTCACAAGATGGCTCAGTCTTGCATGTTGAGCTCGTAATTCATTCTCTCTTATTTTCTGATGTAAATTGTTAATCTGCTGCTTTTGCCTGTAATAAATACATTTTATTTGAAAATAAATGGAATTGAACAGAGATCATAATTAAAAAATGATCTTGAGACTAGACTGGAGACTAGACAGTAATGTATGCAACTTACTTTCTCTCTTCTACCTTGTCAAATGAAACAGAAACAAACAGACAACAGAACCAGATTAAGTATTTTATAATCCTGGATCTACTTTAGCTGTGGGTTTTTTTTTTCCACTGCAGCCAGACTGCAACAAGCCTAGTTCAACACCAGAACTGGAATCTCATCAGGAGTTATTAAACTAGAGCTGCCATGCACCCTTCACTTAAGCATCCCCCAACTGGCCTGCACTCAACTGGGAATCATTAATCAATCTCTCAGAAATATGTACTTGAATACCAGTTTTGTAGGGGCTGGAGAGCAGCTTCTGTTGTCATTTTTTCTTACACCCAGAAGTGTAAGTAGCAAGAAGTACACAGAAATTAGAATGCAAACAAACAAAACTCACATCTTCCGTTTATTTGGGCTTTTCTCTGGCTTCTCTCTCTTTGTGAGAGTTGACTTTTGACATAGTTTAAAGAGATTTGCAAAACAAGGAGCAGAAAAATTAAAAAGAGAATGTCATTACAAAAGTTAGACTGCAGGCTTTCCTGTGAGGTCTGTCTTTCCATGCTGCTCAAGGTTTTTTAAGTTAGTTGCTTTACATACATTTCCCACCACTACAGTAAAATCCTGCACTGCATATTAAAGAATTAAACCTCTTATACCAATCATTTGGCTAGTGTAGAGCAGAAATAGCACCACTCTTCCATCACTATCTAATTATATCATACATTGTATCACTATTTAAATTATGACTTTATTTGAACTAATGTGAGTAGATGGCAAACACAGGCCACATCTCAACCCCAGCCCAAGTTATATGAGAGACACAGACTGCCAGCTCTGCTGTTCTCTCTGGGGAGAGCTGGGCACCTCATGAGGTGACTGGAGTGGAGTCATCAGTATCTACCAGAAACACACAGAGCAACCTGCTCAATCAATCTACAAACAGCTTTCATTCGTGCCCAGCATGTTTGTGGAGTTTCCCTCTCTGGAGATCTTCAGAAACTGTCTTGACATGACCCTGTGCAAGCAGCTCTGGTTGTTCCTGCTTGAACATGGTTTGGACCAGATGGACTCAGAGGTCCCTTCTGACCTCAGCTCTTCTTTGATTCTATGTACTTTCTATGTACTCTTTTAATTCTACTTCTTTTTTTTTTAATATTAGGAGAGCATCAAAGATACAACGCATGTGCACAAAACTTATCTTTTTAACATTTCTCTATTTCTTCAGCTATAAAGAATTACAATTAATGGGAAATTAGTAAAAATAAGTTGCAATTCTGTAGTGTCTTAAGATGACTCACTGAGTACAATTCATAAATAAGAGCAATCGAATGCATTTAGATGACTCCATAGCAAGTCCTAAAATATATAAACAGGTGACTCTGAGGCTTCCCTTTTCAGTTTTACTATCCATAGAAAAAAAAGCCCACATATATGGAGTATGTAATGCTGAACAACTCTGTACTCAGACTCAGCTCCTCTGGTTGGTGCCTTTCTGTACGAGGGCACTTCAATCAAAAAGCTTCAAACTTATTTTGGAAGAAGCGAATTTGAAGATCAAGAAAAAGAGTATGCCTGTAACTTATAACAGGCCATATACAAGCTCAAGTGCTAGTATATCATGTGAGAAAATAAAAACCCTTGCTGGCTTCTGCTGCATGCTTGGTCACAGAGACTGGGATCATTTATTATGATTTGTCTTAATCCATGAACAGAAGTCGTTTTTCATTTTTTATTACCTTATTACTTACCAGATATAGCTATTACAACATCCCTGCCCCATTTGTTTTAACATTATTCATCCATTTGCCACTCATCCCTTGAAGACACTATGCAATTTTCTCCTTCTGACTGATTACATCTTAGCAGTGCCTCGCTTTATGGGCAGGAATTTAATAGCTCGAAACAAATGCTACAGCCCAGAGTAAGCATTTTTAAATATTTTTGAACCTCCAACTACAGTACCATATTTCATAATCTTTTCCCTACCCTAACAAATCCCTGTAGGAAAAAAGGTAGAACAAATTAATCCACGATGAAACAGAGCTGCATGAGCGAAGAGTGTAACCGCATTTCTTTTTGCTCTGCAAAGCGTGAAACTCTGCCCCATCTGAAACCTGGCCAGCAAAACTTGTCATGAAAATGTTTCACGTCTGTGTAGATCCTGCACAGCTTCTTCACATAACTGCCTCTCTCAAAATATCATTAACCTCATGCCACCCAGAGACAAAAATGCTGCGAACAGCCCAGCAGTCACAAGCAGAGGGAAAGATAAAGCACCATAGAAACATACTTACTATTTACATACAGTCCTGTAAGTCTTTGGAGACTTCATACCAGATGCGTTTTCTCACTGATGTTCTCATACGCTAGGACAGTTTTAATCTTCTGTTACCCCACAGCTGTTACTATTAATCTGCAGCATAACCACAGGCTGCAAACATTATTGAAGCACTTTCACAAACATGACCTGCACACTGCAGAGGGGACACTGTCCCCACAAGCCTCCCCATCACCAATCCATCTTCCACCCAGGTACGTGCTGACTGTCACTCTGGTCAGGCAAAAAACAAAAATAATCCTGAGATGGAAAGATGTGACAGCAAGGCCACTCTCCCCTTGTAGCTGCTATGGTGATTGTAACTCACGTGCACCCTGCATGTTCACAGAGGGCAGATCAGAGCAGGCTGAAATTCTGTAACCATTTGCCAAGATTGGTCAAAACTTTTCACAACTCTTCCCTTTCTCTAATGAGCTGTTTTTCATCAGCTCTCCCCAGGCATACACTACGTTTATAACGCAGAAGGCAGCCCTGCCTTAATGTAATTAGGCCCAGACCTGAGCTCAGGGCACTGGGACTAACAAAAGACACTCCTCTACAGAAACCAGAGCACAACTAGGGTCGGTAGAAACGCTGTACTTAATACCACAAAAACTACTCTCATTCACAAATTCCATTTCTCCATCGGTGGGTGTTGCAACTCTATGTTGAAGGCAAAGTAACAATCATTGGCATGTTATCTGAGTATCACAGGACTTGTCACAGGATTTCATTCAATCCTGTCAGTCAGATGAGAAAATACTTCAAGTTTCTTTCCAGACATGTCCCTCCCTTTATACTAAGACTTGAGGAGAGAAGAACAGAAGGTACAGTCCTGCTCTAAAGTTGCAAACCAATCATTAGGACTCAAAGGGAAGAAGAGTTTGTTTAAAAGTGTATAAACTTAAACTCTCCCATCCAACCAACTAATACAAACATAGCACTAATACCACTTCTTTCAGAGACAAATCTGGCACAAATGTTTCCAGCTGCCCTTCAAGGCATAAAAGTCTTCAAGAATGGGGAATATAGGAACAAATGAATTTTGTATCTTCTATAAATGAGCAAGAATACCACTTCCATTTACCCACAGAATCTGCAATGAAGATATCGAAGCCACTGTATTGTTGGATTTTATTTCAGATAGGTTGATTTGTCAGTTTTGTTTTGTTTTTCCTCAGAAATAACCTGCCTGTTATATCCATGTTTTCATTACTATTATTCCAAAACTTCCATTGATTCCATTGATGGGAGTTTCACTCTGAGCCTTTTCACCACCTTTTTTGAACTTCAGCCATAATTTATAGATACAGGTACATATAGATATCTTAAGACCAAATCCTACCTGCGCTGCTCCCAGGTAAGTCTTTCTAAAGGGACTCAGCATAGTGACAGGTTATCCAAGACACAGAGACAAATTTGGTGGCTAAGATTCCTTCTATCTCTTCTATGCTCTAAGATTCCTTCTATCTAGCTCTTTTGTTCCAACTCCCATATTAGTTAGTTACACGCTAGCTAAGTTAATTTACAGAAAACTACCATTTTCACAAATGACTTAACTTTAAGTATCTTGGAACATGTATACGTTCCAGAATACTTTTAACTGATTACGCACTCCTTTTAATCCCTCACCAACAGCAGAACAGTGCAGCATCTGCACTGTTCTCTTGTAATGAGCATTAGCGTGACCTGGCACAAAGTGACTGTTGCTAGCTCACCTAAAGCCAAGTCTGTGAATCAGCAGCTCACTTTCAGTTGGTACATGCACAATAGAAGAATAGCACAGTGCTGCCCAGTCTGCTCAAGTCCCTGGAACTTTGCCTGATGGCCACCCACCCTTTTGCTTCCTGAGAGCCCATGAGGGGCTGCAATTTTTGCAGTCTGTCTACCCCTTTGGCAGCAAGAGGCTGCTAGTGGTGCATAATCCTTGTGTTGTTCCTCTGTGTAGACTGACACGGGGAAGACAACACACGGCCCTTCACGAAATGGCAGACAAGCTCATCCCATGCTGGATGACTGAGATTCTATTTATGAAGCTGGTCATAATTCAGAGGAAACTTACTCGTTTCTCTTGACACAAACTGAAGACATTTAAATGTGCAAAGAGAAAATTACAGCCTTAACTGTAAAACATCAGTTCAGGGGTGTGGAGGGAATCTTGATTTCAATTCATTTGCAGTTCTGTCCTTTGGCTCAAACAAACTTCTTTGAAAACTTAGATCAGCACAAAGAACATGGGGTACAAATACAACGCAGCTCTGCATGCAAAAGCCTGGACTACCTTCTGAGACCAGAATTAATAATAAATAAACTGTTTAATATACAAATTGCTTCTATGTCTCTCTCAGAATGTTTGTAGAACATAATTGGCATTCACAACATTTTCTCATATTCACACTGGACTAGTTAACCAGGCACACAAGCGTAGACAGACACTCGTATATGCATTTGCCTGGAAACAAGCAACATTTTCTTCAACCTGAGACCAACTCATCTGTTTCCATAAAATCCTTTCATCACTTATTCCAATATAAAAGCATCTTGAAAAACCCATGGTTGCCAGAGAAGTGCCTCCTCCTTTCAACTTTGAAA